CTCCGTTCCCCGCCTGAACAGCGTGGCACGGGACTACGGGACCCGGGAGGTGAAAAAACAATAGCCTTACGACCCGAACCCCTTTCGTTTCGATCAGCACAGAGTCTCTTTGCACCCTTGTCTCCTTTCTTCCTTGGCCTCTCTTGTTCGTTTCTGCTGTCGCTCTCTCCTCTTCCTTTATTCGCGTCCTCCCTTTCTCGCCACCCTCTCATAGAATTCTTCTCTACATGCCGCTGCGTCCCGTACCGACTCGGCTCGTCCCGTCCCGTTCCGTTCCGTTCCGTTCCGTGCCGTTCCGTACCGTCTCGTCTGGTCCCGTCTGGTCTCGTCTGGTCTCGTCTCGTCTCGTGCAACGGCACAATGCAGCTCAGGGATGCTTTGTGGATCAGTTTCACCAGACACCCCAGTGATACCGACGGCGAGGACGACGACAACGACGACGACGACGACGGCGACGGCGACGGAGACGATGGCGACGCCGAGCGTACATACAGGGTGTCCCAAAAATGTCTCGCAATCCGAAAGTAGGGGATTCCTGAGGTGATTCGAAGCAACTTTTTCCTTATCGAAAATGCAATCCGCGGCTTCGTTTACGAGTTATTAACGNAAATTGTAAACTACCGAAAAGCTGTAGAAGAAGAGGTAAGGAGCGGAGAGCGGTCGCGGGGGTGGGGGGGGGGGCTGGAAGGTAGCATCGGAGGCGCGCGATTTAACCTCCGAAAATTTCCAGCCTACGCGTTCGCTCGGTTCAGACTCGGGCAACGATAAAAAAGAAAGGCGGACAAAACAAGGGGAAACAAACCGGTGAATTTCTCTCTAAAAACTTTTCCTTTTCCCGTCGGCGGAAAAGGATCCGGGCGCGGCAGGAGGAGAGACGTTACCACAAAAGGTATCGGAGAGCCATTAATATGCGGATCGCGTGTTTCCGTGTCGAGAGGATCCACGTCGACGGTCGCGTGGTGCAACAAGAACAACGACAACCATGGAGAATGACGAGGAGGATACCGTACTCGACGACAACAACGAGAACAGCCACAGAGGTTCGGTATTGTCCTGGTAGACGATAAAAGGTTTCGCATGGTTGCAATGGCGTGTACCTACTGGGACAGAGGGAGACGGAGGGAACAAGATAGAGAGCGAGAGAGTTCCCGAAGAAGAAGTAGAAGCAACGGACTCGGAGAGCGAGAGAGAGAGAGAGAAAGAGAGAGAGGGAGAGGGAGCCGTATACGAACAAAACGAGGGAAAAAGGAGAGGAGAAATCAGAAAAAAAGGAGGGAAGAAAAGCGAAGGGAGATCGGGTGCAGGAGATAAAGAGGTCGACGATAATGCTCTCAGTACACCCTGGGTCTCGTAGCAGAGAGCGCACCCGGCGGCCATTATATTGTTTTACCTCTGTATCTCAGCCAGAGATCAACGAGCACGCCGCGACGCAACGCCGCAGAACGCTGCGGAACGCGGCAGAAACGCGAAGAGTGTTCTCTATACACATACACCATCGACGACAGCCACGATGGAAGCAGAGACCGGCGACGACGTCTGCCACGACAAGCAGAACGCGAGCACCGAAACAACGAAATCGCAGGGGACGAAGCGAGCAAAGTCGCGAGATCGCGGTCGGCCCATGCGCCGCGTCCTGGAACGAAGTCTGCCGCGCGATGCCGACGCGGGGCGAAAATGGACAATTTTTCGACAACGCGATGCATTTAGTCCGAGCAACCGATTTCGAATCCGTCGCTATCCGTCGCTGCGGCATTCCGAAAATGTCCAACAACGGAGAAGAGGAAGGATTACGACGTCCTACGAAGACATTGGACGATGATGCGCGCAGAGTGTATTTTCGAAGGATCATCACGAATTTACGAAGTTTGCATTCCCAATCGAGTACGCGACGCGACGTCAGGTACCATCGAGGTTTCGGGATGGCATTCAGGACTCGCGTCGTCTTTTTTTTCTCTCCTGCTCCGTTCCCCGCCTGAACAGCGTGGCACGGGACTACGGGACCCGGGAGGTGAAAAAACAATAGCCTTACGACCCGAACCCCTTTCGTTTCGATCAGCACAGAGTCTCTTTGCACCCTTGTCTCCTTTCTTCCTTGGCCTCTCTTGTTCGTTTCTGCTGTCGCTCTCTCCTCTTCCTTTATTCGCGTCCTCCCTTTCTCGCCACCCTCTCATAGAATTCTTCTCTACATGCCGCTGCGTCCCGTACCGACTCGGCTCGTCCCGTCCCGTTCCGTTCCGTTCCGTTCCGTGCCGTTCCGTACCGTCTCGTCTGGTCCCGTCTGGTCTCGTCTGGTCTCGTCTCGTCTCGTGCAACGGCACAATGCAGCTCAGGGATGCTTTGTGGATCAGTTTCACCAGACACCCCAGTGATACCGACGGCGAGGACGACGACAACGACGACGACGACGACGGCGACGGCGACGGAGACGATGGCGACGCCGAGCGTACATACAGGGTGTCCCAAAAATGTCTCGCAATCCGAAAGTAGGGGATTCCTGAGGTGATTCGAAGCAACTTTTTCCTTATCGAAAATGCAATCCGCGGCTTCGTTTACGAGTTATTAACGAAAAACAGTGACCAATCAGAGGCGAGATCATTTGGCGCGAGACGGCCGAGCCAATGAGCGGAACTGGGCTCCGCGCACTCGTTGGCTGGGCCGCCGCGCGCCAGTCGAGCTCGCCTCTTATTGGTCACTGTTTTTCGTTGATAACTCGTAAACGGTGCCTCGGAGAAAATTTTCGCAAAGGAAAAAGTTGCTTCAAATGACCCGAGGAACCTCCCATTTCCGGATTGCGAGACATCTTCGGGACACCCTGTATACCCGATGCACCACGATCAGGGCATTAACACTTTAATAGTCGCTATCCGCGTAGAAACAGTTCCATCTTCTTCTTTCCAGTGTTGTCGAGCACAGAGTGCTTTCCATGGTCGCGGCCCGTCCGGGTTCCTCTCAAAGAGAAAGGTCGAAAGGGAAGAACAAATATTTTCAAGAGCGTCCCTTGCTTTTCTCGAATCGAAGACCATGGATTTTAGAGCAGTTGTTCAATCTTTAATCAAGATCGCGATAAAAGCGTGTCGAATTTCTCGATTTGTTCAGCCGAATAAAACTTTCGACAGCTTCTATGTAATTAGCGATAAATAAATAAATAAATAAATAAATCGTCGGGAATTCCTGGCGAGTATCTATGCTCGTCGCGGTCTTAGCGCGTAAGCTGGACGTATCGCGGTTTTCGCGAGCAGAATCGAAGACGCGAGCTGTAACAGGCTGTTCGCAGGCTGTTCGCAGGCGGACACAGGCGCGTAGAATTGGCGCGATGATTGTGCCGTAATCTGCTTTCGCTCTGCTTTTCGCGATGGGGTGCCAGTTGTCGTTTCTGATTGGCCCGAGGCGTCTTCCGTCTCTCGAGCCGGTTGCTATCGGCCTAGCCGAGTGAATACGGAACAGAGAAAATTTCGAAAGACGAAGACGAGCGAGAGAGAAAGGACGCGAGATGCTCCGAGGCATGGACAGAGGGGAGAGACGATGCCGACCGAATGGGAAACTGAATGGGAGGGAGAGAGAGAGAGAACGCGCGCGCGCAAGAGAGAGAGAGAGAGGAGAGAAAGAGATTGAAGAACAGAGAGATGCCGGAGAGAAACGGAGGGAAACGGAGAAACAACCCTCCTGACACGGGTTATCCTATAAACGGCAGCAACCCTGCAGCAACGCGGAGATAATCCGGCCCCCGGGGTCCGCGTGCGGTTGAACGCTCGCAACAGTTACCATATTTGATTGTATCCCTTCTACCCTGCTGGAATACAAAATAATACCCCGTGTATGAGTTGGGAAACCCGATTAACGAATAACCTGGCAAGTCTACGCGGCTCGAATCGACGGCTGAGCGATCTTAAAAAATCCGGGGGAAAGCGATCGTCGCTCACGCGATCCGGGTACACAAATTACAACAACTCGAGCCAGTCTGCAACTCTCTTTCGCGCGTTGCAAACGCGACAACGAATACGTAGAAATACGTGATTTGTAATTTCTCCGGCTAATTTGCAATCAATTTCCCATCGAAGATCCGAAGGACACGAGTCCTTCTTCCGTTGTAATTCGATGCTATGTTCCTCCGCCGGAAGGCGTAAGAAATTCGGGGGACAGAAGCAAAAAAAGAAAAGAAACGGACGAAAACACGCGCGTACACGCACACCGACGCGTATCGCGTATGCGTGCACGGGGTTGCTTTTCGCTGCTCGTGACACCGCCCGCCACCCTGGCGGGAAAACACCGGGGCAAAAGAAATCGCGCGTTTGATGTACCGCCAAAGGGAACGCGTGCACGACCGTACGATGAAAGAGTGGCGAGGGGCGAGGGGGCGAAGGGGCGGAGTACGGGGGCCAAACCGGCAGGAGAGAGAATATTCCGTCCGTCGAGGTACAATTTCGTGTGGGTTGGTCGGTCGACTGCAACCACGTTTCTACCCTTGCTCCGCCGCCCGCTGCCACCCACGCCCGACACCCACCGCCCTTCCGCCCCCCACTCGCCCCCTCTCGCTCCCATTCTCTCCGTCTTTCTCGTTTCGCTTAAACGTTACAATTATTACCGGAAAAGCTGCACACGCATGCGGCAAACCACGGGACCCACCGACGGAATTACATTGATATTAGTATCGTTTCAGCCGGCAGATTAATTAATTAAAACGTGCCTCCACGCGCCTCTTCCCCTATCCTCCGATCCCGTGCCCCCCTCCCTCCCCCCGTACCCCCTTGTTACCCCACTGCTTCTCACCGCTGCGCTGGCCACTTTTGCCACATGCAAACGCATACCCGACCGTGCGTCGGTTTTCTGCATATTCGCGCAGAAAATCGCGAAAGACTGACGCGCGCGTCGGCGGCCCGACACGACTCTACGTCCAACGGATTCGTCCGGTTTCGCGGAAACGCGCGTTTCGCTCGATGATTCGACTATCTTTGTCCGGTTCCGCGGCGTCAAAGAATTACAGGGCGCGTTGTTTCTCTTACCTTTTTTCGCGTGCAAAATGTCCGCGGGATCCGGCGGCAGGGTCGTACAGTGGCTCGGACTCAGGCTGGGCTGCAGAGACGGAAACGGGCTGCCTGCTCCCGACGGATACCTGATCAGAAATTGTTGTTCGATCGTTCGAAATGTGTAAACTCGTCGGGCATTTCTAACGTGCTGATCGCATATCTGTCGCGTCTATTTACCACGGATTCGGCCTCGGCCAGCCCGTGGCCTGCCCGTTCAGTAGCCTCAGCTTGTCGTAGACGCTCTCGGCCGGACTCCCAGCACCCACGCCGACGCCAACGGCCGACACTCCCTGTTGCTGTTGTTGCTGTTGCTGCCGCTGCTCTTTTTGCGCCGCCAAGTTTCGCAGCACTCTGTTGATGGACGACACCTGCAACCGAAGAACGAGACGATGGTTAACAGCGAACGCGACGGCGAGAATCTTCTCGGAACTTCATTCGGACGACGCACGCCGCGGCTAAACTATTTGTTCGATGACCTTTTGCCATCTCTCTGACAACTTGAAAATTCCACGCTCGTAGAAAGTCTGATCCTTTTCGGCCAAAAACTGAGTTAAGCGAGATTTTACAGCGGCATCATCGTTAAAAGTTTTACCACGAAGGGAGTTGTCCGGGGATCGAAATAAGTGGTAATCCGATGGCGCGAGATCAGGGCTATATGGTGGGTGTAACATCAATTCCCAACCAATATCCATCAATTTTTGCCGAGTGGACAAAGACGTGTGCGGCATAGCATTGTCCTGCTGGAAAATGACACCTTTACGATCGACCGATTCTGGTCGCTTTTCCTTGACCGCTGCATTCAATTTGTCCAGTTGCTAACATTCACGGAT